TCTCCTTTCTTCCGTCTGATTCTTCCAACATGCAGAAAATGAATTCAAGACGTTATACAAAACTTGAAAACCTACAACAATTACCCGACACAACTGAGAAACAACAGCCAAGAGAACAAGAAGGAAAAAACATGCAGGTACCAAGCATAGAATAACGAGTTCTACTACGTGCAAGACTAACCACGAATTTCTGAAGTGCGTGTCGTCGACTGAAACACCCAAGGATACGAAAGAAGCAAAGAATACGTTCACAGATCCTAAAACAACAATAAATGCCAATGAAATGGTCTCAATTATATTTGCAATACCATCACGAAATGGAAGAGCGAAAGTGTGATGGATAAGAAACAACACACTTACCAGATTCATGACGATAACCCGTGACAAAGGGTCACTGACAAATGACTTCAGTGCAACAAGAATTAGTCGACGACCAATCATGACGCTTTCCCAACAAAGGGACAGTTTGTTTCCTTCTTCAGGCCTTTTAAAGGAGTCATAAAGAATCATTTCCAAATACCTTCTCGAATCCGAGCTGGGAGGTGCGTTTTCAGCAACTGCTCCTTTGATTTTATCGTGCAAAAGCATGTATGACCAGTAGATTAGAAATGGCATTGGCAAAAAACAAGCTGATAGCAACTTCCTAACAGAGAGAGTACCACCGTAAAACTTGATTGAGCCCCAAAGTAGGATGAAGACAAAGGGAACAACGTATCCACAAGCAATTCCCATCAAAAGATATTGCCACCATTGAAAACAAACAATGTTACCATCAAAAAACAAGCGCCTCTCCCCACTAATATCAACACAACGCAACAAACTGAGGCTTGTGGAAGCTAACATTGTGTATCCTAGCAACGTGGTTTGCAGGATACCACCAACATATGGACCAGGAGATGGCTTCCCTTTTCCACGAAGCCTCTGAACACCACATAGCACACCATACAAAATACATATTATCAGCCACGTGCAAACAATGTGAGATGTTAAGAAAAACCTCTTGGTAACAGGAGTGAGGCCAGGAAAGGGACAAATGGAAGAATTCAAAAAGCTTGATTTAAAGTTGAAGATTCCAACAACTGACTCAATAATACAATTTTTAATAAGCATCCGGGACGAGTCAGAGATGAGGAAAAGATCTGCTGCCTGATAAAAGTAGAAGAGAATCTTCAGATACCCTTTGTCAAAGTCAATCTCTTGCTCTACTCGCTCATTCTCCTTAAACCATAGGATTTGGCGCTTGATCCAGGGTACCAAAGGAGGCCTAAATGTTAAGTACAATGCCATGAGAGAAACATACACCAAAGCAATGGGCCAGAACCAGTAATCATTGCACCGATCTGATGGTATGCACTGTGTAGAGTAAATGGTTTCCGTATAATCGTGTTTACACATCCCACACAGTGTTTCAGAGCGGTTTCCTTGACAGCTGTTATATTCAGGGAAATTTTCTACCATCGGTTGGCTACAATACCCCACTGGACACATGGTGAACTTGAGCAGTGATGGGTTTCGCTGCTCTTTGAAACCCCAAAAGTCACGTTTGGCGACTATATTCTGAGTGCAATTTGCACCATATGGGCAAGAGTGACACTGGACTCGCGGCGCCATGGTTCCCCTGGCTCGACCACCTTGCAGACTATAGGAATTTCCCTCACATGCTGAGCACTTAAACTGTATAGCAGTGACTCCTGTATTAACATAAAGTGTACAAGGTGATTCATCTCGGTCAGGCAAACAGTCAATATCTATTTTACTTCCAGAAGGACAAATGAATTCTGTTGCTGAGCTGTCACTTCCGAGGCTTACTTGATTAGCTAACCTCACCCTCATTAAAACTTTATCTCGACTGTACGCCTCGGTCGCCACTCTTGTACCTGTCAGAACCAAATTTACCACCTTGATAACTTCAATGAGAGAAGAATAGTTATAGTGAGTCGTGTTTGTAGTTTGCGTGAAATTGCTGTCTTGTATGAGAAGACTTGAAGTTTCTTCCACGTGTATGTGAGCACCGTCAAATAGTGCGAAATTGTCCAAAAAGTAAGAATTTCGAAACTCTGTTTTACAATCAACAAGTAATCTAACAGCACCACCATATTCCCGGGCAAAGTTTCCTGTAAATGTTGTGTTCTTGATGATAATGTGTTCGCA